TGGAACAAGTGCAATGTATCACACTGTTTATTTTCGTAATTGTATCACTCAAAGGATGTACGTAAAGAGAGGGGAGGGATATTGATATTATTGTTTTCACTCTTGATCTTGTTGTGTTGTTTGATTATACAAGGAAAATTAATGTATGTTGAAAAACATGTCATACAATAACAACAAAATCTAACAATACAATTATTTTTAGTCCTTCTTACCTTTCACTTTTGACTAAACCATGTGGGCACATTCAATTCCCATAGCTTTTAAATTTTTGAATTTTAGTATATATTGAATTTCATGCATTAAGTTATTAGAAAATTGCTTTGTGAAAAAGAAAAGGATTGATTGGCCAACCATTGAAGCCCGGTAGATCACAACGTAACCGATTGGAGCTAAATGTGTTATTGGTCTTGAATCAATGAGTATTATTTCCACCAGTTATTTGCTTTGTTTTGGCCAATTTTTCCACCAATTTGGCGCATCATAAAATCGCAACTTTTGATTTGTGTGAGATGTTCATGTGTTAGTTTCATATGCAGGTCTTTCGTTTCGTCTTTAATGGAGTGAAATTTAGGAAATCTGATTTAGGTCAATTAAAAATTCCATATTTTAGTATAGATCACTTATCATTTCAATTTCTAGCATAGATCAAGTGAAACATTTCTTCTTTTTAACTAATATCAATACAAGTGTTACTTTTATCTAACTAAGATCAACATGTGCGCTCAATTAGTAACTTTATACAACACTATTCACACGGTTGAGCACATATTTTCTCATGATCTAATCATTCTTTTTTGGATTTTTATCACAAATAGTTCTTAAGGGAAAACTAATGAAAAGGACTTGAAAACTTTGAGTTTTAACGAAAATGACAAAATAAAAGGTAAAGTGAATAGTACCAAGATTAACTTTTTAGTGTAAAAATGTGATTTTTTGTTAAAGTGAACAGTATCGGGAGCTTTTCGTTAAAGTTCCCTAAAATTACCCTCACCATCAAGATGGTCCCAAAAATTGAAAATCAATCAATGTAGTCCTTGAAAATAGGTGTCGCAAATCAATGTAGTCATTCTGTCACAACTCTGTTAAAAATTCCATTAATTGTTGATGTGGCACATAAATGGGCCCCACAAGATTTACGAGTTTTTATCACAAATGGTCCCTGAAAATTCACTCACACCATCAAGATAATCCCTGAAATTGACTCAAACCATCAAGATGATCCCTAAAATTGAAAATTGTTGAATGTAGTCCTTGAAAATAGGTGTCACAAATCAATATGATCCTTCCGCCACAATTTTGTAAGAAAAAATTGTTATGTGCTTATGTGGGTTTAATAATTAATTAAAAAAGTTTTCTAAACACCTTGTTGTACAATAGAAAATTTTTCTTATAGTAGGACCTACTCCGAAGAGAGATCCCTTCCATAAATTCTCAAAGGTACAAGGCTTAACCAAGGCCTAAGAGGGGGTTTGGAAATAGTTTTCAACCAACAATAGATGCACTTGATTATAACCTCATCATCTCAAGGTTAATCTTGCTGTTATTTGAGTCACCAGACCACCAAGGAAGTGCCAAACAAGTTCTCCAAGATTGAGGTTGTGAGGATGTTGATCACCTAAATATTAACAGTGATGTCCCAGAAGTCGTTGCCAATTAGCCAAGCCGTCACCAAGAGTGATCTCGATCCAAGTTCAATTTGGTGAAGGATGTCAAACTGTGTAAAGATTGATGTATTGAGATTTTTTTAGAGAATAGACAACGAAGGAGGTAGAGAAATGTGGACTGGGATTGAAGGTGATTGCAGGACTGAGTTTTTGGGTTCACAACTTTTTATTAACTATTAAATTATTAAACCTATTTGTAATTTTTTTAATTTAATTAGACTTGTGTGATCCATTTATGTGTCACATTAGCACATAACAGAACTTTTAAAGAAGCGTGACAGAAGAACTACATTGATTTGAGACATTTACTTGCGGGGCTAAATTGATCCATTTTCAATTTCAGTGACCATTTTGATGTCGTAGGTCAATTTTAGGGACCATTTTGATGTCGCGAGTCAATTTCAATGACCATTTGTGAGAAAAAGGACTTATGAGACCCATTTATGTGCCACATCAACATTTAACGGAATTTTTAACAGAATTGTGATGGAAAGACCACGTTGATTTACAACACCTATTTTCAGGGACTACATTAATTGATTTTCAATTTCAGAGACCATCTTGATGGTAAGGGTCAATTTCAGAGATAAAAACCCTTCTTTTTTTTAGATTTCCAATCATATAGCATCCTTACAAAAATTTATCCAAATCAAAAAGTGTTTCAATATCTTATTGTGACAAAGAAAAATTTACAGAGAGAATGTTGTGGAAAACACAATAAATTGTTCACAATAATAATCAACTTGCTAAATGATATACGATTGGACGAATTTTTATAAGGATGTTCTTTGTATGATGTTTTTTTGATGATCTTCAAAAAAAAATATTGTGAAGTGAGCTCAAACATGTGGGCTCAAACACATAGTTAATGTCAATGTCATATTAAATTATTAATAGGTTAGCGCTTGAACGCTCCTAATAATATCAATACCATTTGCTAAAATCTCCTCTAAAACACAAAATATTGGTCGACTCAACTCTAATGTTGAAAATATCTGTGATTTTATAGAACTTACTCGCTCAGTCTATACCGACTCAAATCCACGTGTAAAACTTTGAAGTCTCATTAATGCACAAGATATATAGAAAATGGTCTGAAATTAAGCAGAGAATATGTCTCTGAGATTGTATTGTTGCTTCTGCTGATGATGATCAAGAAAGTTCATCATACTACATTATTTTTTTTGGGATATCCAATTTATATAAAAAGATGGTACAGGATACTCGTAGTGTTTGGAGAAAGAGAAATAATAAAAAGTAGGGTTTTGAGAGACAAGGACAAAGATCTCAATGAGATCGTACAATGTTTACAAACATAGCTCAGGCATCTACCAGCTTTTCTTTTTGTTCTTTTTTTTTTTTAATCCAAGAACTCCTTGTCGGCTATTTTTTTTTCTCAAAACTATGTGCATTATTAGTTTAGTTTAGAGCTAACTCTTCTCTCTCCCTAAAAGCCAATCCATTTTGAACATGGACAGAAAGAAACCAATGTAAAAACAAGTGATGTTTCTTGTGATGGTATATGTCAGGCTTTTTGTTCACATTATCACCATCCCCACTGGCTAGTCACTACTCACTGGTCACTTGCTAAAGTAGTCGTCTACGTGAACTTGAGCGACTGATAACTAGTAATAGTTGTGAGCTTCATTTCAAAACTACATGTGCACTTCAGCGATAAACGCTAGCTTTTGTGGAAACACCCCAATAACACAAATTTCTCGTTTACGCTACAAGAAAAATGGCCATTGCACAGAAAAAGTTAATTGTGCCTATTGAAACCTAAGGACACCAATATATGTGTCCATTAATAATAGCAACAATGCAGCAACCAAAATAATATATGTGCCCACTATGGGCATGCCCTTTGATCATAGGGCACAATATGACGTTTGGTGCTCAAAGAGTTGAGTACAAACAACGGTTTTTCTATGCCTTTGTTCTAACAAGGTTGTCTGATGATTATGTATTCATTTCAGAATTAACAACTGTTTAGCTGACATAATCTTACGCAATGTGTCATTAGATTAGAGAAAACTTGTGCCACAATCTCATCACAAAATCAAGTTGTTATGATAAACATAATTTGTGTGGACAACTTTGAAACAGCTTTCATGCTACTTTTTTTTTTTTTTCCCTGCTTAGTAGTAAGATTAAGGGATTACTGCAAGCGACCCGAGACCTTGAATTTGATTTCCCCTCCCATCATTATCGCTTATAGCAAAGTAGTTCGATGTTTTAATCAACTATAAACTATATAACAAAAAAGCGGGATGCATGGGATACTCTTAGTTTTAGTCATTTCGTCATGGTACAGGTTGCGACAGTATTTTAGATATTGTTACAATTTATCAACGTGGCCTATTAGCTCAGCTGGTTAGAGCGTCGTGCTAATAACGCGAAGGTCGCAGGTTCGAAACCTGCATGGGCCACTTCTTAACGTTTTCGCCCCTTGTTTTTTTTTTTCGTGTTCATCTTCTTTTGCAGGAAGATCGAAAGGATTTCTGACGAATGACCCAAGGCCCTCCTACTAAACTTACCTCAAGTGTTTATTAATTCTCATAAATTAAGAAAAACAATAATTAATCTACAAGCTGAGGACTTGTTAATAATCATTCGTTTCTAGTTTTTTATTTTTACCATTGTGCTTGAGATTTGAAGAAAGTGTATGGCGAGAATAGTATTAGAATAGGTGATCTTCTGAGAAGTACTCGTGTTGCATCCCCCACCTCTTCCAATTTAGTTTTTCCTAATCTAACAACATCTAATCTAATAAATTAATCGTTTGATAAAAAAAAATGTAAAAAGAATTAGTTGGGATTGAATACACACCACAATGCATAAGTATTGTTCTTTTTCTCTTAAAAAAAAGTGTATGGTGAAAGAGGTAAGAAGAAGAGTAATAGGAAAAATAGGAAGAATACGGAAGAATGCATGAAATAAAATCTTGAAAGTGAAAACAACGTATAATAGTTTTTGGTTTCTAGTTTTTATTTTGTGTGCATTTCTTCGACATATTTCTTCCACTCAGCTCTCCTTTTCCCATGTATTTCTCCTCCATCACCAACACTAAAAGAAAAACCAAAAATAAAATAATTATCAATCTGCTTGAAGTATATACCCTTTCCTGAGCTGCGCATTTGGTTAGAACAATACCTGGCTATCAAAAATATCCTCCAAAAACATTTTGTATTTGATTTACAATATTTTTTCTTGTAATCAAAACCGTTTATATTATAAACTACTATATAAAGATAGTTTTGAAAGAGAGAGAGTTCATCCATCCACTTCATTATTCAAATAGAATTGTACAAAAGAGAATTGAAATTCCAACCCAAATGCAAAGTACCTCGATAGAAAAACAACATTCCAAACAAAAAAGGTGATCACTATGGGGTCTAGATAACAGCACAGAGCTAATGGCATCCCAAAATTTGTTTACCATAATATACATCTCAATTAAAATCAATAAACAAATTACCCATTTCACATATTAATGGCTGCTTAACCAAAATCCCCCTTCTTCTCAAGACTCCTTAATTAGGGAAGGCAGAGATCCATATGCATATTCTTCTAGTAACGTCAAAATCACTCACTCTCCTACGGCGAATTCACGGCGCTTACTGGCTTGCCTCTTCCCATGGTGAAGCCTCGAGTCCCATCCGGCATTCTTGGTCCTTTGGAATTCAGTTTTGCAGATGCTTCACACTGGATGGTGCTGCTTGATAGCGGAGACGGGGCAATCAGGCCACGGCCGCTCTGGCTCTGCCCGCGTCCTCGTCCCTTACCACGCCCCCAGGCCAATCCTTTCTTGGACAATGCGGAGTTTTCTTCAACCTACCCAAAAACGTATTCATGTGAGATCAAGGCGTTATTTGAAATACATAAAATTATATGTACCACATCTACTAACCACATTTTATCTCATATCCTTGATAAAGGTGTGATCCACTTGCATAAGTGGATTTTGCCTCTTAGCTTGTCGATGAAAACGTGATTAGAAAATACAGTACATGCTGTAAAAGACAATGTAATGGCATGTTATCATGATTTTTTTTAATGCAAGAAGGGACTTACATTAGGACTATCAATGACCAATTCAGGGTTGATTGGGTGAGAAGTTTCTACTGCGCAATCATACGGTGGTTCTTCATCCTCTAAAATGCCATCGAAATCAGACTTTCTGCTCTTCAAAACAGACTTTGGCTGAAAATCACGGTGTTTTAGAAGCAACGAGGCCTTGTTAAATAAGTGGAGGTCTATATGCATATACTGAACTTACAAGCAACCACATTCTCTGATGTTTATAAAGACATACCGAGCATCTGATCAGCATCCTTACTCGGAGCCCTTTTCTCCAGTTCCTTTCATCGCTCAACTTATCAACCTGATGTATGAAAAATATTAAGAGAGAACAAAGGATGGAATCTGAAGTTATAACAGCATTAAACATACCGCTCTCTCTGCTATTTCCATTGTCTCATACTCCAAAAGTGCATGCAGCTGCATAATTAGAGAAGAAATGTATTATCATAAGAAAATTTCTACAAGAGTTCTTGTGAATTATATGGCTAATAGGACAAAACTCGTTAATTTAATCTTGTACCTTGTTGCTGATAATGAAATCGCCTTTGGAGCGGGAAGAATTGGATTCGTGGGGATGGCATATTCGGATAGTTTTCACACTGTTCTTGAAAGAAAGTGTAAATATGCTGTGATGATTCTCTCAAAATATATGATAACACAATACGAAAGGAAAGACCATGGAAAAACTTGGTGCGAAAAATCCAACCTTCCAACCACACTGAATATCTTCTCTAGGTTTTGATGAGAGTGATCTTCAGGCAAATTCTCTGCCACAACGGTGCGAGACTGCAAGAATGGATAAAAGAACAAACACACCACATAAATGACTCATGAAGACACTTAAATCCATGTTGTTTAGTAAGCATCTGCTTTTACCTGCAATTCCTCTTTGTCCTTTTCAGTAAAAGGACGCTTACGTCTAACCTTCTTGCCATCCTCACTTACAACCTTCAATAAATTTATTGAAGAATCAGGATGAAAGCTTGAAGATCAAATGAGTAATACTATTCACAAACGAAAAGAATGACAACAAAACCTGATCAGTAATTTAATCAGACAACTTACAAGCTTTAAAGAAGACCGCAGTGCTTGCGTGAGCATATGGTTGTTACTAGTAAGTGACTTCATTTTCTTGGTGGAGGCAACAACAGATATTGGAACTGTTATAAAATACAAAAGCATGCATGAATCGAATTGCGATTTTCTTTTTTTCCTTAATCTGCATAAATTAGTTTCCGAAAATGTTTACCAAATCCTTCGGGATCTTTACTTATGTGTTTCGCTAAGGATTCATTTGCCAGCAGACTCATGTCACTGAACTGGTACTCCACCTGTTTTATGCAAAAAAATAGTCCTTAGGTTCAGAAGGTGCTGTCATAGTCCAGTCCTAATTGTTTAATGACAATAGACATCATTAAGGGTGACAACAAATCAATATGTTAAATGATTTAACATCTCATGCATCGCAAAATTTGAAAGAGTAATGAGGTCTTCTAATTTCTAGAGAGATCTCCAACGATTTTTCGATACAGATTTCCTTGCGGAACATTAACAAAATTGAACGAACACTTCCAATAGCTTCTGAGGTAAATTCCCTGCCTGAAAAACCTGGTAATGCTTTCTCATCTTAAATTGGACAATGGCAATCGGAGGTTTTGAACCCACCCTATGACAATTGGTGCTGGTATCATAATAGATAATCCCTAGACCTCTAAAACTTGAACGATTACCAAAATTGGCTGACAATTAAGTTTTCCAAATTTCATGTCACACATAGTTGAATCTAAATCTATGTGTGACTTGCAAAAGCCATGGTGGGAGGGAACAAATGAAGGTCATAAAAGGACGATTCCATTTTGCCTAACATGATCAGAAAATCCAGACATGTTTTATCTAATTCCTAATAAAAAACCTGATATATGGTCCATAATTTTGAAACTTTAACACATAGGGTAACGTTCTTTTGTCAGATTGAATGCCGGTACACATCCAGACAAAAATCAACCTGATCAATGATCAAGATTCACAGTTTGATAAAACCACATTTTCCTTGACATACAATACAATATGGATAAAAAGAATGAACATTCGAAGGCACGTTACCTGCTTAATGATCTTCTGTTGAAGATCATCTGGGAGCGCGTTCTTGGACCGATTGGAAAGCGGATTGATATTGGGATTATTGGAGATCAGGTAAGGAGGCAAGTCTTGGTCCCCAATGTAAAACCAATCAGGGGAAGCAGTACTGTCACCAAGAAAGTGAAAGCAGGGATAGAAATAACCAGAAATGGGCATCTGGGCATGTGATCTTGGCACAAATTCAGGTGCCTGTGCATTAAATGTGAAGGATGGACTTCTTGGGTTTTCTTTCACCTCCATATCTGGGACCTCTTGGGGCTTTTCGCCAGGTGGTTGTGCTTGTGCCATTTTTTTCCCTTTGATGTTCTTCAATTCTCTCTCTCTAGATGCCACACACACTCTCTCTCCTCTCTGGGTTTTTTTTAGTGTGTGGATTTAGCTTCTGTGTGTTTTTCTCTCTCTCTTGGGGATTATTGTGTTAAAGTTTTGTAACTGTAATTTGATATTGAAGCCTTGTTTGGCGCCAAAGTACTGGGGTATCCGTATTTCGATGTGGGGATTTGCAGGGACTGATTTTTCTTTTAGACGACCGTTGCTTGTGGAGGTTTGACTCGTTATTTTGAGGCTTCCATTTGCCCATGTGTCCTCTTTTCTCTCTGTACAAGTCCTACAAATTTGGATTGTGTCTATTTTATCTAGGACGTCCCTTTAAAAGATACTGTCGAACATCAAATGGGATCAAAATTAAGTTCCTCATATTGGAGATTTTAATTTAATAAAGTTTTCTCTCATATTATCTAGGTTTCTACACAAAATTTATGTGACCATTTTGACATATAGAAAGAGTGCATTATTAAGTGATAACTACTATCGCTGTGTTTTTATTCTTCTAACAAAAAATGAAGATGCCCTTTAGTACTACGGTCTAGTAGTAAGTGAGAGATCTTAGGTTCAATTCTCGTCAAAGGCGAAGTTAAGCACATTATTATGGCAAGTCTATTGTAAGGCTTAACTCACTCCCCCACTCCCTTAGTGTAAATACTATCATTTGTTTCAAAAAAAAAAAAAAAAAAAACAAAAACAAAAACATAAAAAACAAAAAGCGAATATAATTCTTGCATGGTGACATAAAGAAGAATATTTTGAACATAAAACTCAAAGAAAAAACTTTAAATTGATAATAATGTTTTTTTTTAACAAACCATATTATCTACATTAGGGGGTAGGAGAGTGGGTTAAGCCTCATTGACTAGCAATAATATGGTTTAAATTCATTTTTTTGTGAGAATCGAACCTAAGATATCTCACTTATAAATTAACAAACTCAACCATTAGTATTAAATTGACTATTAGTAATAGTGCTTTTGTAACTTTTAGAGTTTTGAAAAAAAAAAAAGAAAAGAAGTGCTTTTGTAACAATTTATAGATGAGTGGAGACGTCATAAAAATATTTAATTGAAGAAATTATGTTTTTCTATCTTGAATGTTTAAGTAAAGCTATTATCAAGGAGAATGACTTTTGTAGAAATGCTTCACTGCCAATGTGGTGTTCGTTCTAATAAAACAAGATATATTTTATACTAAGGGAAAGGGGAGTTCGGCTAAACCATACAATAGACAACTTAATTTGGTATTGAATTCGTCATTCATGATATTCGAATTTAAGATTTCTTACTTACAAGTGAAGAGGAATACCATCAGACCGTAGTACTGAGTTGGATAAATTGAGACGTTCGTTCTGTATAAGTTACTCTTATTTATCAAAACCAGTTTTGTTCGGAATTTTTCCTATTGAGTCTTCTCCAAACAAGGTTTTTAGTGAGGCCTTCCCGCAAGCCTTAGTACTTTAAATTTCTTTTCAGTTAATGGAGTCCATTTTGTTTAGAAATAATAACAGTTTAAAAGAGATAACATTGTTAAATTCATTATAATTATAATAGAAAATTTGTCTGCAACACTTACATATTTTTATACAATCGTCAGACAATCGCTATAATAGGTCCGAAGTTCAAATTTCTCTTATGTTTGAAAAGGATACACTCGAAATTTGGGAGAGAGAAAATAAAAATTTGAAGTTGGTAGATTTATACTTGAAGAATATGAGTCCAAGTCCCAACCGATCCCTATGCCCCATATATTTGCTCGTTCACATACTTGAGATTGGTCCAATAAAGTTCAAAATGGCAGTTTGGGCGGAAGTATGTATAGATTGGTACATTAATCGAAGCCCAATGTAATGGTAGCAAGAAAGAAGTTGCCTAAACAAGCAATGGAGGGCCAGCCTTTAAGCAATATGATGCTCCATGGGCAACATCCAAAGTAGAAAGCCTTCATTTTCTACATGAGATTGGGACACAAAGAAAAAATTTAGGATAAAAACATTAATTAAACCCAATTACACTATTGTCTAATAATATTTTCTATAAATTTGTAAAAAAGATATATCAAGTTTAATTCACATAAATGACGAATTTCTAAAAAAGATATTTTTCATAAAAATTACACTTTGTACCTCTCTGATTTGGTTTGTATCTTTTAAAACCAGGCAAAAAATATCATAAAGCTGCACGTTGTTTCACCATTAGGTTATCGGTCAACCTTACCATAATCGAATATCGATAACAAGTTTTTGATTAATAGATACCAGATAAATGGTACACCTTATGTGTGTTTTAAATATATGGTAGTTTCTACTTCAAAAAGTATATGGCAATTTGAAAAAGAAATTGGCCTTAAAATGAGTTTGAATTGAATGAAAACTAAAATAAAAAAGGAAATGTAGGGAGTGGGAGAGAGAAAGTGGAAGAGTAAAACTATGGTTACATGTGTGTGAGAGAATGAAAAAAACAACAAATCTTTTGTGCAAAATTACTTTAATGTCCATAAAATTACTTTTGATTTTTTTTTTTCAATCATGCATGGAAGGGTAAAATAGTATTTTCCTTTATTTTTTTTTATTTTTTTTAAGCAAGAAAATATATTAAAGGAAAAACCACCAAGAACAACTATTCCCTACAGAATCAAATTGAAGAGCATGAAGAACAAATGAAGAAATACAATAATCCCAAATATGACAATCAGTAATAAGAAGGCCTTGGCGAGTGAAGGCATTCGCCACAAAGTTAGCATCTCTAAAATATGTTTCCAATCAATGCAAACAAATTTGGTCGTCGTCCACTTGATATCTTCAATAATATAAACTAGATTTCAAAGCATCGCACCCCAGTCTAACATTCACTGAATGACCAACTTAGAGTCTCCTTACTATAATCTTTTTTATAGCCCTTCCTCTGAGCAAAAAGAAGGCCCTCTTTGAGAGCCCTAGCCTCCACTTCAGAAATAGTGGCGCCGTCAAGATTTAAAGCTCCACCACCAATGAGCTGCCCATTATGATATCTTAAGACAAATCCTGCCATCGCCTTGTCCCCAATAACTAAGCCGTCAAAATTTAGCTTAATATAACTCTGGTTTGGAGGGTGCCATTTAATGATCACGAAAATATCATTAGTATTTCTCCTTAAACCTTTATAATTGGCCAATAACTTAGATCCTGGCGGAATTGGCATAACATTATTGAACACCATCTTATTACGGTCATTCTAAATTTGCCAACAAAGGAGGAAACACAAGATTAATTCACTAGGACCTTCTTTATCAACATGCTTTAAAGAATTAAGCCAGTTTATGATCACAGGGAAGTTAGCATTAGTGAAATTGCCTGGTTTAATTGAACAAAGGTCCCAGATCAAATTAGTGACACTGCAATTAAAGAATAAATGCATTTGATCTTCCTCTTCAGAATTACAAAAAGGACACATCTTATCACTATTAATCACAATATGACTTAATCTTTTTTCTGGTCTGAAGTCTATCACGAATGAACAACCATGCATACATCTTAACTTTAAGGAGAATATTAATTTTTCACATCTTATTAATTAACTTATGATTTGTAGATTGAGTCAACATCCCTTTCTGAATCCAAGTAGACGATTTAACAAAGAACTTACCATTTATATTTGGACCCCAAACTAGCACATCTTTGGAAACCTGTAAAGGAATCGTAATATTACAAATTTTCCTAACAATTTCATTACTAACCACTTGTGAAAGCATTCTCCTATCCCAACAAAAATTATCAATAAAGTCACTAACCTTCAACTCCCAATTAATTTTTTGATTGTCAATACTGGGTAAGAGATGGAACAAGGGGTAAGGAAAACCCAATAGTAGGATCAGAACAAAATGTCCTTACCATTACCACTCTCCATCTCATACCCTTAAGAATAACATCCCTACTTTTCAAGATACCTTTCCAAGCAAAAGAATGATTTTGTCTAATTTTATTATCTAGAATATTTTCCTTTCTAAGATACTTACTCTGACCAATTCACCTACCAATTATCATCCTTAGTCAACAACTTCCAACCCAATTTAGCAAGACAAACGTTATTAAAATAATCTAGTTTTTGAACTCCTAGACCGCCCACTTTCTTTGGAGCACAAACTGAATCCCAAGCCACCGGAAAGATCTTCATGTCCCTACCCCAGAAAAAATCCCTACATTCTTTATTGAGCTTATTGACAATCTTGTCAAGACACTTAAAGCAAGACATAACATGATTAGGCATGTGAAATCCCGTTCCCGGATTTCACTATTATAATCTACGTATTTGTTTTATTGAGATTTTATATTATTTTTTGAGAATTTATATTAATTTATTTGAAATTAGATTTCAATTAAACTAGTTACAAAGAGTGAAGTTTGAAAAATTATTATTTACTCGTTGACCTTTTGAGGTCACAAGTAACGTTTTCGAATAGGTCTTAAAGCCACGAAAGCATAGGCGAAAGCCGTTTGCGAGTCCAGGTTATAACGGTATAGTTACGGACATTTGAAGTTGTGAAACTTTAGGTTGTGAAAATTATTTAATTTCCACTAGAGGGTAAAAGGCCCAAATTTATAATTGGGTCAAGGGAACCGGTTAGGGGGATTAAAAAAAAAAAGAACCAATGAAGAGGAGGAAAAGAGGGGGGAAAAGAAAAGAAAAAAAAGGGAAGAAAGAGACGTCCCTTCCTGTCCGTACACCCGCACCCCCCACCTGAGCAAATTTCGGCGATTTTTCGCCATCTTTTCCGTTGAGCAACCACCATTAACTACCTGCAATCTCTTCCACTACCTCCCTTCTACCTTTCTCCCCCAAGATTAAGGGGTTTTGGGTCCAAAACCATGTAAAAACGTGCGGGTGACCCATGAAATTTTGACGGCGATTCCGCCGTTCCGGTGAGTTTCACCACCCACCACCCCCTTAGTCAACTCCCATTGGACATAGGAACAAGACCCAACAGGTTGTAGGGGTGTTGGAACACCGAGGAAGTTGAATTGAAGAATACCCACCTTAGGGTTCTGGCGGTTCGTGGTCAGTTTGGGGTGTTTTCCGGTCAAATAGACCTTGGCCGCAGGTATAAAGTTTACTCTACTTGTTGAGATCTTCATTCTTGTCAAATTTGAGAAT